CCCCAAAACCCCAAAACCCCAAAACCCCGTCATTTTCAATTGAACAAACACTATGAGAATCTGAAATATTTTAAACTATAAATTAGCTATAAAATTAATCACAAATCATCAATTTGAAAACAATTGATCTTTTTGATTGCCTCATTGTTATAATGAGTAACTGTTAACTGAAAGGATAGTGATGTTTCCCCTGTACCACCACTTTGTTAAGAATTTCTTACCTCTACCACTTCATTCTGTACAATACTATTAAGCATTTGTGAACGCTAGTTTCTTAGCTAGGTATCTTCCTTTTGATTTTTATTTTTGCTAGGGTGCCTTGATTTTGACTTCTACTAGCGGAGTGACTACTACGACTGTGAATATGAAAGACTTATGTCATTCAGAAATGAATCCTAATGTAATTTATTTTTCTGCTTTATCGGTTCTGCTATATTTTAGTTTAATTTTTCTTTTTTAAGTTTCATTACCCTTTCAATATATTTTCGACGAGGACTAAGAGAATTTTACTTCTCTTAATCACTTTATAATTGCTATTACTATTCTTACTATATGTTCTAGTTTGAATGGATATTTTAAAAAGAAGGAGTACTTTTAATATTATTTAATTTTACTATTTTCTTCAAGGTTAATCTGCGAGGAGCATTTTACTTAGGCTCGGCTACTTATTCAATTTATGGAACTGCCTCTTATTGTATTACTTAAGGCTAATAAAAATCCACAGGTCTATAATTGTCTTGAGGATGATTTAGAGCATCCCATGTAAGTAACTAAGGCTAGTTGCTAGTTAGAAATGGGTTACTTTTAGCGTTTCTTGATTATTCAGGTCTAGATTATTGATGCTTTGATTTTTCTTGCATATCGTTTGAATTTTAGTTAGAAGGTTACATTCCAAATCCAAACCCAAATGGCATATCTTATCTTAAGACAGATAAAGCAGCAGATCCAGCAGATGAATGCTTGGATTTAAATGGATTTTACTTTACTTTTTCAGTAGGTTCGTGACACTCAAATTTATCATCTTTTTCTACCAACTCATCTAAATTAAAGAGGTTAGATTCCTTTTATTCAGGTACAATAGTTATTGGAACTTCTTTTTTTAGTTCTAATTTTAGTTCTTAATTTTAATTGTCCTCATGAGGTTGAGATTTTGATCTTTACTCATTCATTGTTTTTATTGCTTTTATTCTTTATATTCTAATTATCCGAGAAGGAACCTTAATTGGTTCAGGTTGTTCAAGTTTAATTGGTTATGCAAAAATAGTCTTTGTGGGTTCAATAACTTGATTATTTTGATCATTGCTAATTTTTTGATTTTTATTACTTCCATTATCCGACCCAGTAGCCATATCTCCACTAAACTAAATATGAAGCTAAGAAATTTGCTGAGAATTTTATTATTTATTAGAATTATTACTCAATGCACTACTAGGTCTCTTTAATTCTTCTAACTTTCGATTCTTATCACTTAATTGGATTTTATTAAGGGGTTAATTAGGGAAAAGATTTTACTATTGAACAACAATCTATTATGATTGCTAGTTATGGGAAGCATTGGGGTTACTTTGAATATTATTTTCTACTTTATAATCTCCAAAGTTGAAAACCTTATTTAGATTTTTCTTAACATCCAATTGCTATGCGGATTTTGACTCGACAATTTTCATGATTGATTTATTCAATAGACTATTCATTTTTTGTTTCATTATTCTAAGTCTCGTTTAATTGCTGCTCTTTGGAGTATTATCCAGAGTTGGCTATATCGAGTTTGGACCAGTTTCAATCCTAGCTGCTTAATCCAAAATTTTTGTATTGTTTTTATTTAATTTAAAACTTTCTTATGTCATTCCAGTATTGCTTGCCCCCAAAGCTTCAATTGATTTTTATTCATTTTAGATTCTCTCTGAGATTGAGCCATTGTTAAAAGACAAAATTAGCTTTTTCTTTTTAATCTTTTTTTAGTTTTATTCTTGAAACTTCTTAAATAACTCTTAAATCTTTGGCTATTATCCTTGACGTGAAGGACTGTCTTTAAGTATTTTCTGTAGCTTTATATTAATGTTTGATCTTGTTGGAGACTTAATTAGTAATTCATTAACTTTGTTCGCTTGCTGCTAGATTGGATTGTCCTAATTTGAGCTGGAGTAACGACTTACTCTCTAGGTGTGATATCCCTGCATCTACCTAGAGGAATTCTCCTGACGCATTGTGAGAATCTTTTCCAAATATGAAATTTAATTCTGATCCTAAACATTTCATAGCATTCTTAAGGGTTTTTATTAATCGGCTAATTTACTTGGATATGATATTACCTATTAATAGATTTATTGGTTACTAGAAAATTTAATTTACTCAGTTTTTCATGAATATTGGATTTATTTTATGCTAAGACTGTGAATTATGAGAATGATGATCTGAGTTTAATTACATTTCCATGACTTGCTCTCGAAAAATTAATTATTATTACCTAATTTAAAATATAATCTCATTTTTTAATTAACTTTCATCCTTTAAAATTTGAAACTTGGGGTTTTGGGGTTTTGGGG